TTGCTGGATGGCCCCCCCAGCCCCCCCCCCAGTCAGGTCACTGAGCAGGCAGGCACTGTGCTACCCCCCACACCCACCCGCACCCCGCTGGCAGCCCTAGGAGGTCAGGGTGACTCCCTCTGCCAGGCCGGGGAAGAAAAGCAGAAATCAGTCTGGGTTGCACAGAGCTGGAGGGCGGCACAGAACAGAAATAACCAGCTGGGCAACAGAGAAGGCCGGGCTGAGTCACAGACCAGAGAGCGGACGGAAATGCAGAGCGGCCCAGGATCCGAGGGCCACGTCTCTGGGCAGCTGCCCGCTGCCCACTCCCAGCAGCAGGACCGGGTGCCCGGCCCTGGTCTCACACCTTCCGCATCCTCACTGACCTCAGAAATCCACCCGCTCCCTCGCTGCCTGCTGGGCCCGGCCTCTCTGCATTTCTCCGGCTTCAAAACAAAACTCCCTTCAGTTCCCCAAAAGGCAAACTGGTTCCTTGCCCAGGCCAGGCACCGGGCGGGGGACATTGTCACATGTTAGTTCATTGGGGAGCACCAGGGTGAGTGTGTGCGCGTGTTTTTTGGGGGGTGGGGAGGCAGGTTTTTTTGTTTTTTAGGGAGGAAGGGAGAGGGAGAAAGATAGAAACATCAATAATGAGAGAATCGCCCTGACCGGTTTGGCTCAGTGGATAGAGTGTCGGCCTGCGGACTGAGGGGTCCCGGGTTCGATTCCGGTCAGGGGCATGTACCTGGGTTGCGGGCACATCCCTAGTGGGGAGTGTGCGGGAGGCAGCTGATCGATGTTTCTCTCTCATTGATGTTTCTAACTCTCAATCCCTCTCCCTTCCTCTCTGTAAAAAATCAATAAAATATATATTTTTTAAAAATAATAATGAGAGAATCATTGATCGGTTGCCTCCTGCACACCTCACACCGGGGACTGAACCGCAACCCTCGGCATGTGCCCTGACCAGGAATCAAACCATGTCCTCCTGGTTCATAGTTTGACGCTCAACCACTGAGCCACGGCGGCTGGGCTTGTGTGCATGTTTGAAACACATACACACAGAGAGAAAAGCATAAAACGTGAATATAGCCCTGGCCAGTTTGGATAGAGCTATATTCCAAACTGGATAGAGCATCGGCCTGTGGACTGAAGGGTCCCGGGTTCAATTTCGGTCAACGGCACATGCCCAGGTTTCGGGCTCCATCCCCAGTAGGGGGTGTGCAGGAGGCAGCCAGTCAATGATTCTCTCTCATCATTGATGTTTCTACCTCTCTCTCTCTCTCCCTTCCTCTCTGAAATCAATAAAATATATATACATATATATATATATATATATCCATATACATATATATATATTTTTAATGTCCCTTATGTTTTAATAAAGAATTGGCTATTTAGCCCTAACCGGTTTGGCTCAGTGGATAGAGCGTCGGCCTGCGGACTGAAAGGTCCCAGGTTCGATTCCGGTCAAGGGCATGTACCTTGGTTGCGGGCACATCCCCAGTTTGGGGTGTGCAGGAGGAAGCTGATCGATGTTTCTCTCTCATCGATGTTTCTAACTCTCTATTCCTCTCCCTTCCTCTCTGTAAAAAATCAATTAAATATGTATTTAAAAAAAAAAAAGAATTGGCTATTTACAGTTTTTCAAAGTCCCTCCCACTCCTCAGCTGATGGGATTATTTGCCACTGAAGGCCACAGTCCCTGGGTCCCTGGACCCTGCTCTTAGCCACATCCAAAGCCATGCCCCCACCCCCACCCCAGGAGTGGTCCAAGGCTCAGATACAAAGGTCCACCCCCTCCTTTTATTTATTTATTTTTAAACTATTTTTATGGATTTCAGAGAGAGGAGGAGAGAGGGAGAGAGAGATAGAAACATCAATGATGAGAGAGAATCATTGATCAGCTGCCTCCTGCACACCCCCTACTGGGGATCGGGCCTGAAACCCCAGGCAGGTGCCCTGATCTGGAATGGAACCGTGACCTCCAGGTTCATAGGTTGACACTCAACCACAGAGCCACACAGGCGAGGCCTCCCCTCCTTTTATGAACTGATGAGCTATTTATTTGGATAAGACAAAAAAGTCTCCATCAGCAAGTCCACCTCTGCGCATGCATCCCAAAGAATAGGAGTCAGGGACTCAGACAGGCACTTGCACACCCGTGTTCACAGCAGCATTATTCCCAGGAGCCAAAAGGTGGAAACAGACGAAGTGTCCATTGCTGGTCAGCAGGGCCGGCTTCCTGGACATAGGACCCTGGCTCAGAAGGTTTTTAGTCTTGAGATTCTCCTAATTGTTTAAAATATATTTTTTATTGATTTCAGAGAGGAAGGGAGAGGTAGAAAGAGATAGAAACATCATTGATGAGAGAGAATCCTCGATCAGCTGCCTCCTGCACACCAGGGTTTGAGTCTGCAACCCGGGCATGAGCCCCGACCGGGAATCGAAATGTGACCTCCTGGTTCATAGGTCAACACTCAACCACTGAGCCACGCCAGCCAGGCCGAAATTATCCTCATTTTGAAACAAGGACCATACGTTTCCACGTCTTTTTGCCTCAACCCCACCTGGCTAGACAGGTCGCAGCTGGTGCCAAGACCCAGAAAGTGCTGGTCTACCATCAGGGCAAAGGGCTGGCTTTTTCCTGCCTCGGTTTCCCACGTGGAACCTGGGTGATGACAGGACTCCTCTTAGTGGATGCCTGGTAGAGCCCGCAGGTAAGTGCGACAGCACGAGAGCGGCCCCAGCTGGCCATAGAGGGCATGAAGTCTGGGTGACGCCCAGATGCACAGGCAGCCTCAACCAGGTTCCCTTCCCAGACTGACCTCCCAACCAGCTTCCCTCCTGAGCCTTCACGTAGTCCAGCCCCATCCTCTTCCACCTGGAACATCTCCGTCCCCTCCAACACGGTCCCAAGTTCTCACCCCCGGCCCGCCTCCTCCCAAGTCTGTCCTCCCTGTATCGGCCACCGGAGGGCACCCGTGGGCACTCCAGTCAGGGCGTGCATCTCCCTTCCCGTCTGTCCTCCCCACAGCAGGCTCCAGAGCGCGCTCCCTCCCTCTGGCCACAGCCCGCCAGAGCACCCACCTCACTCAGAATAAAACCCT